AACGTTTAGAGGTTAATGAAAATTAATATACAAAAAAAATTTGATCAATTAGAGGGTTAAAGGAGGAACTTACAAAAAATGAAACTAATTATCATCTGTACTTATTATAAATTTAGTAGTTAACATGAAAAAGTATATAGCTGTACTTATAAAATCTAGTGGTGACTATACAATGTATTAATTTTAGTTAGTTAGTTATGTATTTTTTAAATAAAAAAAATTTTAAATTTACTTACTTGTAGCTAGAGTTAAAAGTAGTCAGATACTTATGACCAGTGTTATTATAGGATATTGAAAAATACTGATAGGATAGATAGGATATTTGAAACATAATATAAGATAGATTGAGACATATAGCTAGAACAACAAATCTCTAGGATATCAAAAATGGATATTACTGCTTATGACCGCTATTGTATTTGAAAATAAGAAAATTTTATCTCAAAAGTTAAAATAAATAATAATTATTATTTCATAGTTACTAATGATCGCTTGTGATTTTTTATATTGATATTTTAATATTAATGAAAATATCAAAGTTTATTTAATGCTAATCATTAACATTTAATTATATAGTATATTATTATTTGTAATACAAATACATTTTACAATTTAAAATTTATATTATTAAAATGACAATTATTAAAAATAGGAAGTTTCTTTTAAATATCATTAGCAAAAGAAAATTCTGATGTCATAATAAAATTGAAGAAGGAATTTCTGATTGAATATTAACATTTGTATTTTTATTTATTGAATCAGTAAGAATTGATCTTGATAGTTTTATAGCATTAATTAAAGTATTCATAACAGTAAAATGTTGTTTTTTATTCACTTCTTTATATACACAAATACCTTAAATACTTTTGTGACCTATTACTCTCATTATAATATCTTCTGGAATATTAGCATTCTAAAGAATTTAAACAATAGTTTTATAACTAGAATGGTTTGTTAAAAGACCAAATAGAAGTTCTACTTTAACAGACTTTCTAATATCTTTCATAAAATTCCCTATTTTATTATTTCTATAATCTGTTTGTTTATACTAAATACTAGTTTCACGTCAAAGTAGATTAATATATAAATAGAAATTTTAGAAGCACCACTAGGACATTTAGATAAATATTTTTTAATATCATTAGCTGATTCTGAATTTAGAGAAAGATGAATATTTTGTATAGCTTCTTCTTTAATTCTACGCTAATTATTTTTGCTATGATAACGGTAAAAAAAAAACTACCATTAGATAGAAATTGAAATTGATCTACATGAAAATTATAATGTTTACCATCATAAAATGTAAAGTTAGTTGCAATTCAAAAAAATACACAATATAAAAAACCTTCAGGATGTTAGAATTAAGAAAGTCATCAGTAAGAATTTCTTGAATTTACTGTGCAGTCAATATCATTGATCCCTCTTTTTCACCAAATTCATTTTTTGCAAATCTTTCATTTTGCTATGTAAAACAGTAAATAAATCTGAAAACTCATATTTATCATGTAAATTAATTCTGTGTATTGGAGAAACTTTTATCAAATAACAATTAATAGTATCAATAGCTTGTTTTACTAAATTTGCTTTATATCACCAGATGTTTTTTTAGTCATTTGTGCAATATATTCACAAACTTGTTGTTCAATCAATTTGGAATCTGTAATCTTCTCAAATGATGTAGTATAATTGCAACTTTTGTGAAATTCTTCAAATTTAGCAACCCAATTTTGAGTTAATCTTTCAGTATTAGGTACTATAGCTTTTTGATGATAAAAATTAAACTTTTCTTGAATTTCAGATATTTGTGAAGAGAAAGAAGGATTCAAAGTATTTTGAATAGAAGTTGTAATCTCTGATATCTATTGAGAATGATAGAAAGTACTTGCATTAGTAAAGATAGGGTTAAAAGTTTTGTGAAGTCTTTGTTCTTTATTGACGTATTTTTGAGGCATTTTAATTTTTTATTTTCAAAAGAGGAGTAAAAAAAGAGAGAAAGTATGGAATTTTATAGCAAAATAAACATTTTATATTGAAATAAATTTTTCATAGAATAAACTATTAATAAACTAAAATTTTTTATCACAGGCGTTAGTCTTCAGGAGATAAAAAAGTTATTTTACAGTGATTACATGGATATTATTGATATTTTCATGGCACAGCCGTGAAAATTAATGATATTTATTGATCTCTGTAGAATAACTAATACATATTATATTATATTTAACTTATTATGAATAGAAAAATATTCATAATATTTGTTATAAAAAGATTTAAAAATACTAAAGATACAGAATATTTAATATTAATTGATTTATTAAATAATTCTATTCTACTTATTTTAGATATATATACAATACTTTTTAGAAGAATATTTAGAAAGTGTTATAAAAATCTGAATATTATTTTAAAGCTTAAGAAAATCTCAAATTAATAAATTAAAATCTTTAAAGAAAAAAGTTTTATTATTTCTATTATCAATATTTGATAAGATATATTAAAATTTAGAAAACACAAAGCAAATTAATAATAATAAATATCCAAAATTTTATTTTTCATATTTTGATATAGAAGTAGATGTAAATATATTCTCTTTAGTTTAGAATATAACAAAAAAACCTGCTAGTAATAAATTTTATAATGCAAATAATTGTTTATTATCAAATTATATAGAATTATCTAATAGAATTGTCTTAATTTGTTGACATAATTTTCATAAAGAATATTTAAATACTCTATTTAATGATAAGTGTTCTTATTGTTAAGAGATTATTTCCATCTATAAAAAAAAATGAAATTCCTTTATTCAGAGATAAAAATAATGATTTGGATGAAAATAATGATAAAGATAATGAAAGTATAAAAAGTATATTAGAAAAAACAGAATATAATATAGAAAATCAATACAATATAATGTATCAAAAATGGCTAAATTATGATAGTATTTAAATTAGATTTAATAAATTTTAAATTTTAATCATTTTTAAATTGTAAACATTATTACTAATAAAATTATCTAATAATAAATATTTTTATAAAAATTAGTACTTTTATTATGCTATATATTATGAAGTTATTTTAGTATATATTATATGTAAAATATTTCAATCAGAGATAATTAACATAAAAAATACATTGATTTTACAATTTTTTTTTTATGCAATTACAAAATGTTACTTCTAGTAAAACTTATTCAATAATAATTAGATTTTGATAAAATTTGGTATTATATTTCTTTATATTAATATAAATTTACAAGTAAAATTAGCTTATATTATTATGTAGGATTTTTCAATCAGAGCTAATTAACATAAAAATTACATTGATTTTAGCATTTTTTTTTATGTAATTGTAAAATGTTACTTCTATTAAAACTTACTCAATAATAATTATTTTTCGATAAAATTCAGTATTTTATTTCTTTTTAATTATATAAAGCAACTTGTAAAAATTAGCATATATTATTATGTAGAATTTTACAATCGGAGCTAATTAACAAAAAAATTAATTGATTTACGGCATTTTTTATATGTGGTAAAATGAAATAATGATCGGCAAAAGATCGACAGAAGATCGGCAAATTGTTATATAATTAACCGATCCTATATGATGACTGTCTTTCGGTCTGGATCGGGATAACCTGTTAACTAACTCAATTATAGTTACACGAGTTTTTTAATTATGCGCAATACCCATTACAATTTTCGCACATATGGGAAACTGCCGAAAGTTTCCTCCCTTTCTATTGTAAAGGTCCCATTTAAACAACCTTAAAACGTGAGTAGAACCAAAAAGAGTATTCTTATTTTCATATGGAAAACAAGATGATCCAATATCCAATCATGGTTTTTAAGTATAAATGCAAATGCAAATGTCTAATGCTGTGTAAGTATTTTCCATCCACAATTTTCCCTAAAGGCAATTTTTTTTAACAAACAAATAAATATTTAATCTAAATATTTAATCATGTCAAATAATTATAATGGTCAACGACTTGTAGGCTTTAATTGGCAATTTCCACAAAATTTTGCTGAGGCCAAAGACTATATATTTGAATTTGGCTGTTTTTGTTATACTGAAACAAACCAAGCTTTTCAAATATTTTGGGCCTTAATCAGTACTACAATTACTATAATAAGTGCTAAAACCCCAACTGAACTTGTTAGAGATATTACCAACAAAGCACTGGAAGTTTCTAATAAAGCTATGGACTATGCTGTGAATCAAGGAGTTGTTGAAAATGTTGCTTCTTATCTTATGGGTAAAGAAAAAAATACCGATGATAGTACTGAACTGCCAATAAAAGACTCGGGAACTAATGATACTAGAGAAGTAACTTCTACAACCGATAATACTATTACAAGCGGTGAACGTTCTGCTCTTGTGGATGAGATATCGGATCTTAATGCTTATCTTCAAGAACAACTTACTAAACGTATAATGTTTCTTGACGGTGCCATGGGCACAGTTATTCAGCTACTTAAACTTTCTGAAGAAGATTTTCGAGGAGATTTATTTAAAGATCATTCACATGATTTAAAAGGGAATAATGACATTTTGGTTTTAACGCAACCTGAGATTATTAAGAAAATACATATCGAATATTTGGAAGCTGGGGCCGACTTTGTAGAAACCAATACCTTTTGTAGTACTTCCATTAGTCAAGCAGATTATTTTTGTGAAAAATATGCATATGAATTAAATAAAGAAGCTGCTAAATTGGCAAAAGAAGCGTGTATTGAGGTATGTTTAATTAAAAAAAAAAAGGACTACTTGAGAAAGGTTTAATTGATATAATTATATTTGATATATTCACTTCGTATATAAATAATTAGGTTACAATACGAGATCCAGGCAGACCAAGATTTGTTTGTGGTGCAATTGGACCAACAAATCGTACATGTTCTATCTCACCATCCGTAGAAAATCCTGCTTATCGTAATGTCACTTTTGATGAGTTGGTTGAAGCATATTCAGAACAAATTAGAGGTTTACTAGATGGTGGAGCTGACATTCTATTAGTCGAGACTATTTTCGATACTTTAAATGCAAAGGTATGATCTAATATTTTTGAATAAAAAAAATATATATATATATTAACTGACTGTTAAATTTATAGGCAGTTTTATACGCAATTGATTTGTTATTTGAAGGTGGTTATAAAAAGATACCAATCTTTGTTTCTGGTACTATTGTTGACCAATCTGGACGTACCCTTAGTGGGCAAACTGGAGAAGCCTTTGTCACTAGTATTAATCATTCACATCCTTTGGCAATCGGACTGAATTGTGCTTTGGGTGCAGAACAAATGAAACCATTTGTTCAAAATATTTCAAAGTTTACAAGTTCATTTGTAATTTGTTATCCAAATGCTGTAATATTATTTATACACAATTATTTTATATAAATCCTTATAGATACCTTTGTTAAAAAATTTTTTTTTCATTTTCAATGATTTACACACATAGGGTTTACCAAACACTTTTGGAGAGTACGATGAAACACCTGAAATGATGTCAAAAGCAGTTGCAGATTTTGCAATGGATGGTCTTGTTAATATATTGGGTGGATGTTGTGGTACAACACCCGGTCATTTGAAAGCTATCGTTGAAGCTTGTTCAAAATATAAACCTAGAGTTCCACCGTCAGATATTAAGTTAGATAATATGATCATTTCTGGATTGGAAGTGTTAAAAATTAACAAGGAAACAAATTTCGTAAATATAGGAGAGCGTTGTAATGTTGCTGGGTCAAGGAAGTTTGCTCGTCATATTCTGAAAGGAGAATATGAAGAAGCAATGGCAATAGCAAGGTCTCAAGTTGAAAATGGTGCTCAGATCGTTGATGTTAATATGGACGAAGGAATGTTGGATGGAAAAGCTGCCATGACTAAATTTTTGAATTTAATTGCCAGTGATCCAGATGTTGCTAGGGTATGTAAAATAAATATTTGACTTGTTAAATTTACTGAATTTCTCAACATTCAATCATGTTTAATCAATTAGAAATATTAATTAATTTAGGTCCCAATCATGGTAGATTCTTCAAACTTTGAAGTGATCCTAGCAGGATTGAAATGCGCACAAGGAAAGTGTATTGTCAATAGTATAAGTTTAAAAGAAGGACCTGAAGATTTCATTAAAAAGGCTAAGATTATTAGAAGATTCGGTGCAGCTGTTGTTGTTATGGCTGTAAGTTATTTTCTTGTCTATTATTAGATAAATATATTATTGTAATAACTAATGAGTTTATATTTTTATATTAGTTTGATGAAACAGGTCAAGCTGACGTTAAAGATCGCAAAGTTGAGATCTGTACAAGATCGTATAAAATCTTAACTGAAATAGTTGGATTCAATCCTAACGATATTATTTTTGGTAAAAAATATCATTTTGTCTTTTTAAGTTTGGAAAAAAAAACTCTGATTTTAATAATATTATATTTGTTAAAACAGACCCGAATATTTTAACTATCTGTACTGGTATGGAAGAACATAATAATTATGGTGTAGAATTTATTGAAGCGACAAGAGAAATCAAACGAACTTTATCCGGTGCAAAAGTATGGTTAATTTTTTATTATTAAGATCAGAAGAAGAAATATTTAATAAATTAGAATAAATGATAATCTATCTTTTTCCTTTGTTTTGAATAGTAATTCGTTAGATTAAATGTTTTAATAATTTTTTTTTAATAGGTTAGCGGTGGTGTATCTAATTTATCATTTTCATTTCGTGGAATGGATAAAATTAGAGAAGCCATGCATAGCGTTTTCCTATATCATGCAATTCAAGCTGGTACGAAATCATTTTCGTTTTGTATTATCTATTTTAAAATTTACTTTAAAAATTTTCTTTTTTTTCTAGGTCTTGATATGGGAATTGTAAATGCAGGATTTTTGACTATTTATGATGACATTCCAAAAGATTTGCTTGAGCTTTGTGAAAATGCATTATGGAATCGTGATCCAGATGTAACGGAAAAAATATTAAATTATGCACAGAAGCATGGTAAAGGAACTAAAAAAGAAGAAGCTGAGGAAGAATGGAGAAAAGAAAATGTAAAATCCAGAATTAGTTACGCTTTGGTTAAGGGGATTACAAAACATATTATCGAAGATACGGAAGAAGCTAGGAAGAATGTAAGTAGTAAAAATTTATTTGAAATTAGAGCAGTTAAAGTGAAGAGAATTTTTGTATAATAATTTATTGTTAGTATTCGAGACCTTTAGAAGTTATAGAAGGTCCTTTAATGAGCGGTATGAGTATTGTTGGTGACTTATTCGGAAAAGGTAAATATCCGAAATAATATTAAATTAGATTATATGATATGCTAACATTTCTTATTTAACAAGGTAAAATGTTTTTACCACAGGTTATCAAATCTGCACGGTAAGTAATATTTCCCTTAAATAAAATTTTTAATTTCATTACTTATGAATCAATTTATTTAACTTATTAAATAGAGTTATGAAAAAGGCAGTAGCACACTTGATCCCTTTTATGGAAGAAGAACGTATGGCTAATCTTGCAAAAACTGGTGGTGAAGATTCAGGTCCTGCACATGCGGGAGTTGTTGTTTTAGCTACTGTAAAAGGAGATGTTCATGATATTGGTAAAAATATTGTTGGCGTTGTGCTCGGTTGTAATAATTACAAGGTATATGGTTTTATTTAAATCTTTTTCACTTTTTTCAAAACAATTTATTTTATATTGTATCTTTTTTATATGCTAGGTTATTGATTTAGGTGTAATGACACCCTGTGAGAAAATTATAGCAACAGCTTTGGAAGAAAAAGCCGATATTATTGGATTATCGGGCTTGATTACACCCTCTTTAGATGAAATGATAACAGTTGCCAGGGAAATGGAAAAGCGTAATTTGAATGTAATGAATTATTTTTAACATTTAATATGTAACTTATGTGTCAATATCACATTAATTATGTTATTTGGTTTGTTAGATTCCATTATTAATTGGTGGAGCTACAACTTCTAAAGCGCATACTGCAGTAAAAATTTCTCCTCAATATAATAAACCTACTATACACGTATTGGACGCTTCAAAAAGCGTCGTTGTGGTATCAAACTTGTTGGATGAGAAATCCAAAGAGGACTTCTGGGAAGATATAGCAGAAGAATATCAAGAAATTAGGGAAGATCATTTTGCTTCTTTGAAAGATCGAAAATACTTACCTTTGCAAGCAGCGAGAGAAAAAGGATTCAAAATTGACTGGGCTAAACAATCTCTTCCCGTTAAACCATCTTTTATTGGAAAACGAGTATTTACGAAATATGATCTAAGGAGAATTTCAGAATATATTGATTGGAATCCTTTCTTTCAAGTTTGGTAAATCAAAAAAATGTTGTTTTATGTAATACGATATTTATTGTATTAAAAATATTAAAAAAAATTAATTGTTGAATATTTAGGCAATTGAGAGGAAGGTATCCCAATCGCGGATTCCCAAAAATTTTTAATGATGAACATGTTGGTAAGTTATCGATTTGTATGGGCTTATCACAAATAACCAATATTTAATAAAAAATATTATTGAATAATTTTTAGGTCCAGAAGCTAAAAAAGTATATGATGAGGCATTAGCCTTTGTCAAAAAGATTATTGATGAGGATTTATTCGTTGCTAAAGGCATCGTTGGAATTTATCCTGGTATATAAGCATATTTAACTTTCCCCTTTTCTACTTATATATCGTATATATCGTAATCAAATTCCTTATATTATTATTTTTAAATTATAGCTAATAGTGTGGATGATGATATTCAAGTAAATTAAAATTTTGTTTTCCTAATATTTTCTAATTACGGTTTATTTGAATAAATCAATCATTGTAAAGGTATATGAGGATGAATCACGACGCAAGGTCGCTTCCACCTTTTTCGGATTAAGGTAAATCATATTTAGACTTTCAGCCTTTTCATATCTAATTTTCATTTATATTTTATATCTGAATTTAGACAACAAGCGGAAAAGGAGCCGAAAGAACCATATTTTTGTCTTTCCGATTTTATAGCACCTAGAGCATCTGGTATACCAGATTATTTAGGTTTATTCGCAGTTGGTATATTTGGTGCTGAAGAGCTTGTAAAGAAATTCGAAGATGAACATGATGATTATAATATTATCATGACTAAAGCAATTGCAGATCGTTTTGCTGAAGGATTTGCTGAATGTTTGCATGAGAGCATACGTAAAGAATTATGGGGATATTCACCAAATGAAAATTTAAAATTAGGAGATATGCTGAGCGTTAAATATCAAGGTATTAGACCAGCTCCAGCTTATCCATCTCAACCGGATCATCGTGAAAAATCAACTATGTGGAATTTAATGAAGATACATGAAGAAACTGGGATTGAATTGACTGATAACTTGGCTATGCTTCCCGCTGCTAGTGTTTCAGGTATGAGTTATTGTCCGTCTTTGTGTTTGCAAAGTTCATTAAGTATTTCTGTACTGGTATTAATTAAAAATAAATAAATAGCCCTAGCCTTTGCAAATTCCGAATCACAATATTTCGCGGTTGGAAAGATAGAAAAGGATCAGGTAATAATTTAAACTATTCGTGCCGTTTTAAAAAGTTTTTACATTCTCATTTAAATTGTTTTAAAAAAAAAAAATTAAAATTAGGTTCTAAATTACACTGAACGTATCGGTAAAGATCTTGAAGATACAGAAAAGTGGCTTCGACCCAATCTTAATTATGGTATGTTTAAATCGTTAATTGAAATTTGTTTCGAATTTAATTAATAATTTCCCTTTTTTTTTTTGTGAAACTAGATTAATTGGAAATAATAATAAAATAATATTAACTAATATTTATTTATTTATTTAATTATAATGTTTATGATTTTATATATGTTTTCGATATCAAATATATGTTATAAAATCGATAAATGGCAACATAACACAAAAATTTATCCTGATCATGAGAAAAAAATGGTTGGCTCGGAGTTTTGTGTGACAAGTTTCCGGGTTACGCAATCAACGCTTACGCACACCTCACGTAGTATTGTTATATAAAACAGGAATTCTTATCATAAAGGGCGTTCTTTGGGCTTGCAGTTTTTCCGGTCTTTACTAATATCTCTTTATAAACCTGACATATTTGCCAAATTCTCTTTACTTTTTTTATTCCCCCTTCCCCCCCTTTTTTTTGTAAATAATTTATATACAGTTGACGCTTTTTTGACTGCGAAATAAAAATAAATAAAATAACAAACTATACAATGGAACTACAGTATCAAGTAAACTTCAAAGTTTCTTGTAATTCTGATCCTAATGTACTTCGAAGACTAAAATTTGAAAAGGGCTCAATCCTTACATATTCTTCTTTGAAAACAAAGGTATTGTCACATAAAATATTTTATAAAACAAAATTAATGGTATAATCAGGTACCCGGGCAGAACATTATCATTTTATGTTTATTTGAAACAACTTGTAATAAAATATACAAAAATCTTTTATTATAACTTTTTTTGGTTTTTTAAAACTTTGTAATTTATTAATGTACCTTTGATATCATTTTTTATCATATTTGATATGAAAAAAGTTATCCCTTTCTTATACCTTAATTTGCTGCGGGAATATGTTCTTAATTTATTCTAAAAATTAATTTTTCTAGCTTTCGGATCTTTTTCGAACGGATTATTTTAACGTTCGTTACCAAGATGAAGATGGTGATGCTATAAGTATCGATAGTGACTCATGTCTGCAAGAAGCAATTGATCATGCTGCTTTGAATCTAGACAAAAAAAATGTTAGAGTTGTGATTCGCTTAAGCTTGGAAAAAATAGACACCATAGTCTCTAAACATCAAGAAAAAGAGTTACCCAATAATCTTAATGGTAATTCAAATGAAGATGATAATAATGTAACAGGTAAATATTTTTATTCTGACGATATAACGTTATAATATATCGTTTGCAAAGTTTTAAAGTGTCCCATCTTCTGCTACACCATAAATAGAAAACTCAGATTCGTCAACATCCGAATTTGGCACGAATAACGAATACGCAAATCCTGAAGAGTACCCTTTTGAAAGGGTCCTTAATATTGGAATCAAACATCTTCAAGACACGGTACAAACATTTGTTACACAACTGAGTTCCACTATTGAACGTGATCTGTCATATAAGAATCTTAACGTGTCTCAGCCAAATCAATCAAATAATGTTGATACAAATCTTTCGTCTGATACTCGTCAAATTCCAAATTCTTCGGGTATAATTAATTTCATTATATTGTGTATCTTTTCAATTCTTATAATTAATTATAATCGTTTTATAATTTTTTGCAGAGCCTGTTGTGCATCATGGTGTATTATGCGATTGCTGTCAAAATACTATCCGTGGAATGAGATGGAAGTGTACAACTTGTAAAAATTATGACGTGTGTCAAGTTTGTAAATCCAAACCAAGTACTCTTCATACTCACCCAAATAATCATGCTTTCCGACCTATTCCTTATCCGAGAACTTCCAATGTTTCTACTCGTTTGTATTTTCCAATTCTCAGTGTGTATTGATTTTCGATTTATAATTTATTAATTCTTTTAATAAAAATTAGATTCGGAAAATGCGCATTCTGCTACTTGCGACTATTGTGAATCAGTCATCTTTGGAATACGTCATAAATGTATTAATTGCCCAGATTTCGACTTGTGTAGTTACTGCATTTGTAAGTAAATTATTAGTTTTATTTTATTTGTTAATACTTGCTAAATTTAAGCAATAATTTACTGAAGCTTGGGTAATAATATTTATTTTAGCGCTTGCACCAAATCAACATCCAGATCATACATTTATGTCTATTCATAAACCTGGTGATCCAGAAATCAAAATTCCGGGTATTTGTCTTATGTCATAATAATCCTTATAAAAGAATTTGAAACCACTTTGAGAACATGCTTTTTTTTAACATTTTATTTTGAATTTCAATCTAAAGATGCTGCTTTTCACCCTGGAATTAAATGCGATGGTTGCCACAAAGCAATTAATGGTGTCAGATTTAAGGTATGAAATATAATTAATATTGATAAGTTGCTTATAATTTTAAATCTAACCGATTGAAATTTATTGGATAGTGCGGAAATTGCCCCGATTTCGATCTTTGCGGAAATTGCGAGGCATCCCCTCTTAACAAGCATGATCTTGATCATGTTTTCATTAAACTCAAGAGGCCTGTTCCATCTCCATTATCATCAACTGAAGCATTACTTCCGCTTTTTTATTCGCGTGCAGATATCAAGGGTGGTTGTAAATCAAAAGCAGAATGCAGGAAAAATTCTTCAAAAGAAATAGAATCTATTACAAATAACGATTTGGTTGAGTCAACTCCAAATTTGTCCTCACAATCTACTGTCCAGAAGCAACCAATTTCAATTGTCAAAGGACCGAGGTAATTAATTTTATCCATATCGAATTAAATTAAATTGATAATTCATTTAATAAATTTTTTTTTTTTAAAAAAAAAGTGGTGAACCCGTTATTAGTCGGGCACCTATTGAACTTTATGAGGAATTGCGTGAAACTTCAATATCTGAATCAGCTCCTTTGCCTGAGATATCTTCTAAACCTTCTCCTTCCATTTCAAATATCAACGCTAGTCATAATGATTTCTTCCCTTCTTTGCTCCTTAAAAAAACTGAACCAGCTGCACAGGATTCAAATAATGCTTTAAAGGTATCTATGTTGAATTCATGCTTTATTGAAGATGTAAATATACCCGACGGTACAGTACTCGTGCCACAAGCTCAATTTCTAAAGATCTGGAAAATGTCTAACAACGGTGGTGTCACTGTAAGTAATTCACATCTTTAAGTGTAATTGGCAATTTTATATTAATATATTCTCATATGCTCTTATTTAGTGGCCTGAAAGCACGGTCCTACAGTTTGTTGGTGGACAGCGTATGTTCAATGATAGTTTGGTTAAAAATGGCGAAGAAGGTACCGCACCGTATATCCCTGTTGGTGCTGTTGAAGTTGGTAAAACTCTGGATATTTCTGCTGATCTCCAAGCGCCATCTGAACCCGGAAAATACGTTTCGTTAGTATAATATTTTTCTAATCTTTCATCGAGTGAATTTTGTTGTATTTGATATTAATAATTTAAACTTCATACAGATTCTGGCGATTAACAGATAAGGATGGTAATCGATTTGGACACAGAGTTTGGTGTGATATTGATGTGGAGGCTGTTGATCAATCGACCAATATGTCCGCCTCTTCAATGATCTTCCCTGTATTAAATTATGATCAACAATCGGTCTCCGCTAAATCTAATGATACCTCAGTTCCATTATCTTCGATTCCTGCCACTCTTGTATCTTCAGAAATTTTAAGACTTGAAAATGATGATAATAGTCTTTTCCGTGATCCAGTTTCACTTGGTTCATCTTTGTCAGAACTAAGAAAATTAGAAATTGAAAATCAATCTGATCATTATGATTCTGATGATTCCGATGATAATTCTTCGATTGCTTCAAGCGCAGATTCGTCTCAAGATTTTATTGTTGTAGAAAAAGATTCGGACGATGACATGCAAACACAACGTGGAAGAAGCGTACAACCATATAATTTAAATCTAAATTCAGATGAAGAAGTTATTAACGACACACAATCTGAAGGTAAACTTTTAGCCGAAAATGTTCAAAGCTCATCCGTTCCTTCATCTGCTGAAGTTGAAAATATCGTCGTAACATCACAACCCGGTGATATTGGTGAATCTAAATTAAATAAAGAATTTTCAGAGAATTTGAAATACAAACAAACATTGGCGACATTGGCTGAAATGGTAGGAGTTTAACGTGTATTACATTTATTAGATAATTTTACTGCAGGTTTTCCCAGTTCGATTCTGGGATTGAATTTCATGGGATTAATTATATTTTTATTGGTTTAATACAGGGTTTCGATGACGAAGAGGAGATGATTAAACTTGTGGTGAAGCATGATGGAGAATTAGATCCAATCATCAATATACTCCTTTAGAATATACTCTATTATATTATATATTATAAAATTTGATTGTTATAGCTTTTTTTTATATTTTTCTTATTTTTTCGAATATTTCGCAATATTCCGAAAATAAGAATTTACTCATAAATCATGAACATTGTATTTCTTTTGCGTCGCGTTAACTATTTTTTTTATTATTATTATTTTCGTATAAACAAACAAATGTTTATTTGGTGTCGTCAATTTTTAATGTGTTTTTGTGTGATTTGATAATTGTATATTAAATAAAGATGATTAAATTTTTCGGGCGTTTTTAATAATCAATTTACATCATCGTGCAATTTGTTAAGAAAAAAATGGCGTTTTGTATAAAATTAAAATAAAATCATTTGATGTTTGATAAAAAAAAAAAACTTAATATAATTAATATTAATATGTTACAAAAACAATTATATATTTATAATCTATTATCTAAGCACAAAAATATCGATCCGCGATCAAAATTTAATTGTTTATGTGTGATAAATTTTATCACATGCTTGCGAACAAATCGATTACACTTCCATAATTAACATATCTACTTTCTGATCAATAATGAATATACGATGTTATCAATACATTATTTATCCTTATAGGATCGATATTTTTCTTAACAATAAGGAAATGAATAAGTTTGTTGGACTCCAATACTGTAGATTTTAAAGACCTTACACACTATTTCTCAATTGCATTTTTCGAGAGATCACTGTTGCTTACGCTCTTTATTTGTTGCTTTATAAACGGCAGACTTGAAACTATTTTTATTTAAAAAATAGGGGGCAATTTTATTCTTCATCAATTGACGTGAAATTTATTGCATACGTATAACTTTTAAAAGTAAATATTAAGCGCAAATAAAAAAAAAATCATTATTTCATGTTAAAGATGGCAAAAGATTTATTATTATTTGAACAAAGAAACAAATTACAACTACAAGGAAATAAGGCTCACAAAATTTAAACCGAAACCGAAAAACTACCTGATTGCAAAATATAATAGTACTTGTTCGCTACTAGTAAACTAGTACCCAGGTTGCACGACGAGGACGTCAGTACTAATCGCAACCCAAAAA